AGTCCATTAATGCAGCACAGCTGGCAGTGATCCACGGGTCAGAGCCCCGAGCCGCAGCTAAGAAAGTCCATTAATGCAGCACAGCTGGCAGTGATCCACGGGTCAGAACCCCGAGCCGCAGCTAAGAAAGTCCATTAATGCAGCACAGCTGGAAGTGATCCTCGGGTCAGAGCCCCGAGCCGCAGCTAAGAAAGTCCATTAATGCAGCACAGCTGGCAGTGATCCACGGGTCAGAACCCCGAGCCGCAGCTAAGAAAGTCCATTAATGCAGCACAGCTGGCAGTGATCAGCAGGTCAGAGCCCAGAGCCACAGCTTATAAAGCTCATTAATGCAGCACAGCTGGCAGTGATCCTCGGATCACTTTCTAGGCTTCCTCAAGCCACCAAATTTGAGGCGCGGGTCGCCAGTTTAAAAGCCTTGAATTAGGGATTTGCTGAAATGGGGAAATTTCCTTAGCCACAGATATCAGATGCTAGCTGTAAATCACAACACAACTTTCCAGCGGTCCTTTTACGCTGGAACAGCAGAAGATGTATAGTTAATGCATTAGGCATCGAGTACCAGTTGGTCTGTGAAGTAGAGGCAATCACTATAAACGACATCATCATCATCATTGAGTGCCATGAAGATAAGCCTAGGGTTTGTCATGTTTCACCATCTAATAATTTTTCTTCTTCTTCTTTGCGTTCGGTTTCGTGTGCTCAGATCAGACCATCAGGTGGGTTGCCTCTATGAACTTGCATGTCAGTAGCAGGTCCTTAATTGTTCCCAATAGCTTGCTCTGCACACTTTGCTCTTGAGGCCAGGTGTCTTTTCGGTGTTGTATGTAGAGTGGGTAGGTCTGCAGAATGTGCTTAGATGTTTGTGGTCCTGTTTGACAGGCACACTGTGGGGACTGTACAATCTTTATTTTATGCATGTTGTAGTTGAGCCTGCAGTGTCCTGTTCGTAGACGGAAAATTGTTGTATGTTGCTTTCTGTTGAGTCTGCTGATGGGGTCTTCTGGATGTTTACTGTTAGTTTGTTCTCTCCACAATTCCTTGTATTTTCCCTTGATAAGTGTTCTGATTTCTGGTAATGACAATGGCTGGGTGTGTTGTTTCTCCTTTGTTCCATTTTTAGCAAGTCTGTCTGCTAACTCATTTCTGAGTATGCTGCAGAGAGTCGGGATCCACTTGAGAACGATCTGATGTTTTATGCGAGTCTGTTCAGCTGGTGGGTCAGCTCTCTCTCCATGTTGTCTCGTGGATCCCTCTGAGTGGCTGGAGGACTGACATGCAGTCACACAGAAAAACAATTTTGCTGTTTTTTAATTTTGTCTTTCCTCGAGCACTTTGGGTGAATCAAAAATTGCTCTGCTCTAAAGTTTTCCGGAGGCGCAGGACGTTTCTAGTGTGGTACCATCTTGCATTATGATGACTGATCCAGCTTCTCCGTTTTGTCTGCTCCCTCCAATGATCCATCGATGTATACGTGTGTCCATTCGGGTTTTATATAACAGTTGTGGGCATGTTCAAGGGTCTTTGCATGCAGTACTAGGTCACATTCTTCAGCCTTTCTGTCTGTGCGTGGGATTGTTATTGTGACTGTATAGTTAGGCTGTAGGTCTATGTTGTAAGCCTGGATCATTTCCCACGTTGAAGTCTTTAGAAAGGATTTCACTGTGTTCTGCACAAAACAGTTTTGATATATGGTGAAAGCTTAGTCTTTTCAGACGGTATTTAGTTAGGTTATTAGCTATTCTGTGCAAGGGGTTGTTGTTATGCGTTTAATTTTTTTCTGTTAGTGTAAGCACCTTTTCTTCCCTTTGAAGGCTCAAGGTCTGTAGGCCAGAAGTTGCCTCCAGCTCATGGACTGGTGTGCTTCTCAAACCTTCAGTGATGATTCTGAGACCCGTGTTCAGTAGTTTGTCTAGTTTATATAGGTGCCATCTTATACGATCACCATAATCACGGATTAGATCAGTATTCTTGTCTCGTCCTATCCCTGTGCTCAAGCCATCCAGGTGTGTATCGCCTTTACCTCCCCGTTGCTCTATTCCCGGCAATCTTGCTTAGACTATAAGGGCTCTAAAAGAACCAAGAAATATTCAAAGAGTCGCCTTGATTTCCTACTTGTCAAGAAGAAACTCCCGACGCCACCCCTGCGTGCTGAAGAACAGACATCACAGGTTAAGCTGCCATTACGTGACATAGCATTTTAGTTATATTTCTTGTTCTAATTCTTCTTTTTCTTCGCGTTCACCGGCTGTAAACTCCGACGGAAAGTTCTGGTTGTTCGACCACTTCTGGACTGCAGTCCTGTTCCAGAACCTGAGTGCTGCGTGTGCATCCGTTTGACAGATCTGACTAATTTGTATGCAGACTGTTGGCTCCTTGCCTCTCAGGCAGATGCACTCCGACTTCGAAAGAAGCTCCCAATTAGTCGACTCTTACGACATGCTTTTGGGTAGGCAGTGGGTCTATTCTTGTTTTCCCTATAATAGGGCCTCGGAACCCACACGGGGATTTGTTCAAATTATTCATTGCCATTAGTTAGTTAGTTAGTTTATTGCCATTGAATGCGTTTAGTCTTATTTTTTTTTTTTTTTTGACAAATTTGCATTGCAAACAATCCTTGCACGAAGTGTCTAGTGTGCTTTTCCGGTGGCTTATATTTTTTGTTGTCTTGTATTGTATTTTGCTGTGCATATGTGTGTTTACGCGGGCGAACTTAGTTGTGATTGTAATGAATGTGTGACTTGTAAAGTCAGCCAATACTCTCTGAGTAAGCAAGTCTATATCCTGGTGCAAGATGTGTTTATGCGCCTCAGCTTTCGAAGTTTTCAGCCCAGCTAAACGTTCTTGATTTTCCTGGAATTTTTTACCTACGTATTTTTCGCCTACGATGTCACCTGCTTAATTCTCGAGGCTATAAATGTTCGTTCTTTTTATCGAAACCGTTTTTCGACGAGTGACAGTGGGACAAGGTAATATTGTAATTATTTAACTATTTTAAATATGCAATTTAAAAATAAAATTGTGTTCTACCTTTCGTCTTTCTATCTTAAACACTAAACTACTTCAAGTCACAGACTAAGAAACTCTAGACAGTATGAAAACCAAGAGAAGATGGAAAAGCTTGGCCTCGTTATGAGAATGAATACTGATATACCTGCCAAAACAGCTCTCACGTGGATACCAGAGGGAAAGAGAGAAAAAAAAGGGGCGCTCAAAAACAACATGGAGACGAACGATGGAAAGTGACCTGAGTGCGGCATCTTTGACATGGAAAACTGCACTGAAGATTGCACAGGACAGGAGAGCATTGAAAGTCCTCTCTGAAGCCTCATGTGCCACTAGGCATAACGAGAATTGATGATTATGAAACGATGATAATGATGATTTCGTCTCCCTGTTGAGCACAGGCCCTTAGCCAGCTCACGTCAGCCTTTTGTAGACTTTTTTTAGGTTAAAGTAAAGTAGAGAGGATGGTCTTACAATGTGCTTCAAAACGTGTGCCCTTACACTTTAACAAATATCTCGCAAACTCCTGTACGGATAAACAAAACTGTGTTTTCGTGTGGCATTATATTTGTCCTTGTGATTTTTAAATTTACAATTGCATAGGTGCTGCTGTTTTCCTAAAGCGGGAAGTTTCTCTGATTACTGTTTGACTCATAATTTGTGCACCCATAAAAATATAGAGTATACACTGATTGACACAAGCATGGAGATTGATGCGTAATGATTATTTTGATAGCCTATCTCTCACTCAATGAAAAATCCGCAACTCACGGGAGACTTATGCTTGAGATGACCATGTGAGAATGAAATGCCTATAACACGCATGAAATTTAATGTTTTGAAAAGTTCCCGTTACTCACTTAACTGTAAGCATGCTGATATTGTACTTTGTATCTGTCAGATATATATATATATATATATATATATATATATATATATATATATATATATATATATATGGGAGTCACTATGGCGTAGCGACTAGACGCTCGCGTACAAGTCGGAAGTTCATGGGTTCGCTCCATGGCGGAGCCGGACTTTTTTCACAAATAACCTTGACTCCCAGGTCGACCCGGCCTTGAGTGGGTACCGGGTGCAGTCCCGGGAAGTAAAGGCAGTCGGCGTGGTGCTGATCACACTACCCATCTTGTGCTGATTGGTCTATAAAAATATAGGTCTAGTCCTATATGCCTATACACCTAAAGGCGTGGAAAAAGGACCTTTACTTTATATATATATATATATATATATATATATATATATATATATATATATATATATATATATATATATATATATATATATATATATATATATATATATATATATATATATATATATATATATATATATAATATATATTCCGCAAAAAAGCAAAATTGAAACTAAATATTTGTTTACATTAAAAACAATTTCTTACAAAGACAGTGTTATTAACAGGTTGTTGCATGTAAACGTTCACGTTCATCAACGTACACTGAACGGCTACTTAGTTCCAGATTTTTTAAGTTGCGCACGATTTCTGGAACGGACTATAGTAACCTGCCGAGAGCGGGACACGAAGCACGAACAAAGCTTGGGTGACGATCCCCGGAGATCTTTGTTATTTTTTTTTTTTTTTTGCACTCATGAACCGAATAAGCCGTCCTGACACGAACTTACTACCGTTAGAACACGAAGCCTACGGCTTGACCACTTCGCGAACGAGACTTTCATGATTTGTTAGCGCGCTGCTACAGTGTAGTGGCTAGACTGATTGCCTGAATGCTCGAAAGTCTAGAGCAGTGTTCTTCAAAATTTCTGCCTAATGACGTAACATGGTAGGATAGGTTGTTTCTCTCTTCTACGAATTCATTCTGCAAGATTGAACACCCTAAGGGTATTATTGCGTAAACCCCATTCAGCAGCATCACCGACACTCTTTGCCTATCCTCTTGGTTGTACACTCTGTCTGACTGCCTCAATGTGAAGTTTTCCATTACCTACATTTACAGATGAGGAAAACATCGACTGTGCGAGCCAGAAGGCGGGACAGGAAAGTCATGCCGCCTACATTGAGGTACAGATCCGTTAGCAACAGCGCCACTCGCAGCCGGAAGGGTGCTCGTTTGCGCATGCGGCCTTGGTTGGAGCTGCTTCTGGATACGCAGAAGTGCAGCATCCTCCGCTGGGAGGACAGAGATTCAAAGAAGTTCAGCATCGCTTGGCGACATGCATCCAGCCATGGCTTCGATCCTTCGAGGCACTCAGATTTGTTTTATATGTGGGCGGAACATACAGGTAGGGGCTTGTTATTTATGTTTTAACTTGTTTACTCCCAAATAACGTATGATCTATGATTAGCTCCCAATATACATCTTCACTTCCTACTTTTCTTGGGCTACCTTTAAATGTGTGTTCTGGTTTACAGCTGAGCTGCGACTTTTGCTTCTTTCGGTCCAACGCATCTGATTTCAGCTAACTTATAATTCCGTTCTATCTTGTGCAATCACTTTCATAGCATGGATGACATCCAGTCCAGCACCTTTGACTTCTGTCATCAACGTTCGTATTAGGGTTTCTCTTGGACCACCTCGTTTCCTCAGTCCACCTAATTCTTATTACAGTGCCTGTTTGTTGACTTTGAAAACCTTAGATCTCGGACATCGAAATGTATTTGCCGTATCAATGCCGAGGTGGATTGGAAGGATCAGTAGCGAAGAGCATGGGACATTGGGCGGCCGTAAAGCACGAAGATCGGCACAGGATATAAGAGTTCCTTGGATAGGAGGGTGCACCAACAAGCCAGACCCACCCGCGCTGAGATATATGTTCCTCTGTAAACGGTTTGTGGTGCCCGAATATGACAAACATATGGCTATACGGTTGAAAGGGATTTCTTGGATTTGTACACCTGTTTGACTCTCATTCTTGAGATGTTAATCAAACAAAATGCAATCCTGGTGGGGAAAAAGAGGGGGAGGGGCGAGTATATGAGGTGGGTGAGCTGACGAGAGATCAGTGTTTTGTTGTTGTTGTTATTGTTGTTAGGCAGGCTGTTATGAGGGCAACATACTTCAAAGGACGTGCTTATGACCGAACCTCAGGGCCGGATTAACCAATAAGCAAACTAAGCAGATGATTAGCGAATTACAAAAAAGGGAGAGGGTGTTTGCACCACACCAATTTTCAATAGCCTTGAATAGGTGTTTTTTTTTTTTTTTTTTAATTTTTTTTTTTTTCAAGCTGAAGTAAATTTAACAAATCTTTACCAGAACAACAATGCAACACATTTTGAATTACATGTATATGGTGGTACCAGGGCAGCCATAACGCATTGGGCCTCTTGGCATTTTGCCAGGGTCCGCTGGAGAATAGGGAAGCCATGCTTTTTTTTTCTGTGTCTGTCACGGAACAATTTATATATTATTTATGTGAGTGGTTGTCGTATAGGGCACCAGCACACTGGTTTGCTCAGGGTCCGATAATGTTATTGAGACGGCTGGGGGAAGGGAAGGGGGCACCGATATCTTTCAAGTGCTTAGGACAGCTGTTCTCATCCTTCCTAACGCCACGAGCCTTTAATACAGTTCCTCATGTTGTGATGACTTCCAACCATAACATTTTTTTCCTTGCTACTTTATAACTTCAGTGAATATGTGTTTTCTGATGGTCTTAGGTGACCCCTGTGAAAGGGTCGTTCGCCTCCCCCCCCCCCCCCCCCCCAAGGGGGCCGAGACACACAGGTTGAGAACCGCTGGCTTAGGGCTTCAAGGGGTCTGAATCCGACCCTGCTAATCCTTGCTCTTATTCCTTACAAAATATGCCAACCTGCGACTAAAATAATTTAGCTTAACATTGCTTCTCTTTGTCTTGCCAGGTAAACTGAAAAGAATTACCAAGGAAAATCATTCCAGTAACAAGAGCACGTTCCGCTGTGCTCTGAACAGCTTGAAGGACTGTATCGAGCTAACCAAAACAGGCGACAAGCGGGGCGAGGGAGCCAAGAGGACATACCAGTTTATAGAGCCCGGTCACCAGTTGTATGATAGTACGTATATCAGTGGCATCTGAGTCAGCGATGTTTATGCATGCATTCCCCGGCTTTCGGCTGACAGATAAGCTAACACTAGAAGTGTAAACATCATTTACCGGTTTGAAACCTCCCCATGTGGGTTCTGAGATCCCAGTGTGGGAGAAAAAAAAAAGAATCCACCAGTGGGTCTCTCTAGCAAGCATGTTGTAGTAATCGACTAATTTGAGGCATCCTTCTAAGTCGGAGTACATCAGCCTGAGAGGCAGGAAACCAAAAGTCTGTATACAGTTAAGCCGGATGTGTGGAACGGATATGCACTCAACACTCAGGTTCGTTCTGGAACAAGTCCAACAGTGGACGAACAACCAGAACCATACGCCGAACTTTACAGCCGGTAAACGTATAGATAGTGAAGAAGAAGAATCCTCGGAAAGGTGATGGGTGCTTGCTTTGTGGGCGCAAAACATATCTGCCCAGTGCGTGGCGACTGCACTAGCCGTGCAGGCCTAAATCCTCAAGCTCACACACGCCGCCCCATCTCTGACTGACTAACATGTTACCCCATCAGGACATCACACCGAGCGATAAACACCCGGTGACACAAATTGTCACCATATGGATGAGGATCACCCGACAACAGGTTCCAGTTTAAATTCCTTTTGACCTCAACACATTTTCTAGTGCTCTCAATCTCCTCTTGCATTTTCTATTTGTATTTTAAATCTCTATAAGATCCTCTCTGTTTATCCATTTTACTGCCCAAATAGATGTATGACTCCACATCTTGTAGTGGGATACCATTAAGAGAAACCAGTTACTTTTTTGCGGGTTTATTCAGATGATCTTTGTCTTTCCCTTTTGGATTTTCAGACCTATTTGTCTCAATCTCTCATCAAGTTTTTTTTAAATTTATCTTGTATCCGATTTCGTGAGTGGGACCGAAGAGAAATATCATCATCGGAGTCCAGATCATCAACCTGTTGTGTATGTTCCACTATATTCCATTCCTGATGTATGTCTTTATAATCCAGTCTGTTGCCAACTGAAGTAGGATGTGTGACAAAAGACATCCTTGTCGCACATCTGTGCTTTTCTCAAATATTTCTGTAAGCTTTCCCTGACGAAGAACTCGACATTTCATGTCTTTGTATGTTGCTTTTACTCAGTTAATAATTCTCTGTATACGTTGTTGTTATTATTATTGTTGTTCGTATATTTTTTTTTTATTACCCTCAAAATTTACTCTTGTGTTCCTCTCAAGGAAAAAGAAACAGAACCAACCAGAGGGGAAACAAAGTAAGTAGGTTATAGAACTATTTTATTTTTTATTTTTATAATAATGAATCATGATGTTGAAATTTGTAACTGTTATAGCGAAACAGTAGCCAGTCAGTGAAATTGATGAATTTGCAAAACAGATCAGTGGACTAAACGTTAGCAGACTAGATAAAAAAAAAAAGGTTTAAAATAGAGATAATGAACTTTAGACCGTCGGGTGTTCTCCCATATGGCTCCTTCTGTCTCCAATGAAAGGCTAGATGCCTGACGAGAACGTCGCACAAACCGCGTATTTCGTAGCTCCAGCTACGGTTCCTGGATTCTGTGTAAAAATTGCACTAGTGAACCAAACGAAGCAGCCCGTGATACAGATCCGCAACTTTCAGAGCGCGAGAAATACGGTTTATTTCCTTAGTATTATAATAGTATAGTTGCTAACATCATTCATTATAATATAACCTTGGAAGTAAAATAGAAAAGGAAAGTGTTAAACATAGACTTCTAATAAGACAACTGCCATAATAAAAGATAAGGAAAAGGATACAAATACCTCTTAAAAGGTAACTGCTATAACAAAAGATAAATAAAGAGATAATATTACCCTTTATATGGTAACTACCATAACAGAAGATAAAAAAAGGGATACAATTAACTCAATTAGTACTTAGGAACTCATTATGCGTTTGTTGGTGTCAACGTAAACTATGTCCTATCCCTAATATTTTGTATCATATCTAGTTGCTGTTAGCGTATTTTGCGCTAATCGGGCCATAAACTCCTTCTCTCTCAAAGTCTTATAGTTTTAACGCATCAAAACGCAGATATTTGTAACTTAAATCGACGGTTTGGTAGGATAGAAAATACGCAGACACATACACATTTTCACATACTTACACCCACACACCCACCCACACACAAACACTCACACAAAGCACCAGAAAGTCTTACCGCGTCCACCTTTTAATTAAAAAGCTCGTCACTCAAAGGAGCAGCAGCCAATCTGTCAGCCTGCTAATTGCCCTGCACACCTGAATATACAGTGCTTAAAATGTATGCTATGCACCTGATCTGAGTCGCATCAAGCGAAGCAAGCCACTAAATACCTAGTGCATCATTTCATGTTGTCCGATACGTGCTCTGCGAGTTAGCTACCGTTACTAGTAGAAGAAGAGGATGAAATGTTATTCGTCCGTCACAAGTGATGAGGGTCACTGCTTCTTTCATCTGTCATGAAATAATAGTTGATTGTCTGTGACTCCAGACTATAACCCCACTACGGGCTTGGAAGGATCTAGGCTTGGACAATAGATGTAGGGAACTTTGTCTTTAGATAGAGGGTCTGAAGTGGAAGAGGAAGAAGTGAAAAAGATGTCGAGGTCATAATGTACGCTTCACGCGATAGTAAAAGATAGAATGACTTGAGTTACTTGGAGGCCTATGCTCCATAGAGTGACAAAGTGTGACAGAAGAAGAAAACATCGAATGCTCCTGAATAAAGCATTACGTTTAAACATAATCTCAGTTTCAGATGCGACTGAAAGAAGAAGATGCGAGTGTCAGCAGTGCAGATTTCCAGGAAGATTCCTCTAATAATTCGGAATGCCACAATGCTGAGGTAAACGCAGCAGCTTTGAATATACCTGCATCATCTCTTGACGTACATGAATCCAATAACGAATCATCAGCGTTGCTGTACAAGGCTGACAGCTGTGAACCTTTGTCGCCACAGCGACTAGTAACCACATCGCTAGAGTTGCCTAACACTGACCTACCATTAGGCAGTGGCCAGGAATCATATTATGAAATTCTTCCGGAGGTATTGACAACTTCAAAGAGTTACACTGAACTGCAACCAGACGGTGTGCTTCGCTTTGTAATAGATTCATCTAACTGTGTTGGGGAAGAAGCTGGGTCCATCACTTGTAAGGAAGAGCCGAAGACGCCAGAGCTTCCGAATTTTGCTGCTTTGGACATTCCAGATATTTGTGAGTTTCTTTACTGTTTGAACTGTACTGTTTAAACTGTGCTGTTTTGGTAGTTTTTTCCTCCAGGATTGGGGAGGGGGAAGGGGGGGGGGGGGAGTATTTGGGAGCTCCGTGGTCTCGATGCATGGTGTCCGCCTCGAGGGCTAGAGGTTGTGGGTTTAATCCTCGGTAAGGGCTAGTATTTTTTTCACGTGGACTTGGACTTCTAGTAATTCCCCCTGGTCTCTGGGTAGTGAGATCAGACGCTCGTGTGCATTGTTGCGCACGTAATAAATCCCTTGGCAGGAAAAATTTGGAGTTAAAAATCTACCCAAAGTATTTCAAAATCTTTGCTGGTGTTACAGAGCCTGTGCACTGTGCTGGGCTTTTTCTAACCCAGACTTGAGTTAGAAGAAAAACGGAGCACTAATGGGTCACTACCCGTGTGCCATGATGTTGATCCGTTGTTCAAACCTCAAACATCAAACCTCAAACATCACCCTCCAGTATTGCAATCTGAATGATTAACATCTCAAAGATAAAAAATTTACAGGTACAAATCCTCTAAACCCAGTTGAACCGTAAAGCCATATAACAGAATAGTATAATGGCACTACAAAACGGTTATAAATGGATTTTAATGTTAACATTCGTCATCATCATCATAATCATCATCATCATCACCACCGACACCATCATCACAAAGAGAGAGTTAGGCTGCACTGTTTTCATAAAGCTCGCAGCGCAGTACATTTCGACAAGCATTTCTTCGGTTCTGTTTCCTGACTTTTCCTCCAACTGAAATTTAATCAAACGTCCTTTTCAACCAGCATTAGGGAGCTTTAGGTTATAATTGTGACAATGGTATGTGTGCCATATAAAATAGCTTAGCATTGCTTGCCACCAAATAGCCATGAAAAGGACTCTTGTAGTGATGATGCGATCAAAGGAGATAGACCCAAAAACTGTCTCGACTGGCGACAAAGTCGTCTGCGGGCTAGCCAGTAGGCGACCCGGTCGCCGATGAAATTTTTTTCGGTGTTGCTGACCGCCTCTTTATACTTTTCCAATCTACTTAGAACAGTATTCCTCAACCTTTTTCAAGCTTGCAGCACACCACTTTACCCCGTTATATGATTAGGCAGAAATGTTTTTCTGAGGCTCAGTTGTGGGCCGCGGTGCCTGGACTGAAGAACACTGACTTAGAAGGCGACGGGTTTGTGTTTCTCTTTATTTGCTTCCCATTTTATTGCTGGAAAAAACAAAACAGTGTGTGATTTATGAGTGACTACTCTTATTTCTATTTTTGCAGAGTGTTACCGTGTGTTTGTGTTAGGTGTCATGTGCAAATGCGTTCAGAATTTCCAAGCATGTATAAATGTTGTTGATGATAATGATAAGGGATCCACCATGTTGTGTAGTAACATTTTCTCCGTCGTGCTGTCTTACGTCATAGCTAGCTATCTATCTATCTATCTATCTATCTATCTATCTATCTATCTATCTATCTATCTATCTATCTATCTATCTATCTATCTATCTATCTATCTATCTATCTATCTATCTATCTATCTATCTATCTATCTATCTATCTATCTATCTATCTATCTATCTATCTATCTATCTATCTATCTATCTATCTATCTATCTATCTATCTATCTATCTATCTATCTATCTATCTATCTCTCTCTCTCTCTCTCTCTCTCTCCCCTCCCTCCCTCCCTCCCTCCCTCCCTCCCTCCCTCCCTCCCTCCCTCCCTCCCTCCCTCCCT